AGATTTTTAAATATACTTTTAAATGCATTCCAAATTACACTTTGATATATATTGTAGCATGTGTTCTGAATATATTTTTAATAATATATTCACAAAAAATATTGAAATATATTTTTTAAATATATTGACTATGGCCAAAATTGTAGTATTTGAAACATGTCAATATATTTGGGAAGAATATAGTAAGAATTGTATTTTTAAAAATATATTTAAAACATATTTTTCTTCCATGTGGGAAGTATAGACTTAATTCTGGTCAAACAGCTAAACATATCTGTGAACTGCATATACCCACATGGAAAAAAAATATATTTTTCAGTATATTTAAAAAACCTATGTTGAAATGCATTTTATGTAGATGTTCAAAAATATCTGGAAAATATATTTTTAAATATATGCCTTTGGAAAAATATATTTTAATTTACATTTTTGGAATACTTGTTAAAATATATTTGTGTAGGACAATATATTGTAAATATATGTCGTTTTTGTATAATTTTTTGCTTCTAAATGTATTGAAGATATATTTTCATGTGGGTATGAGCGTTGTTTTAGCTACCAAATAATTTTACGTCTGTTTATTCAGTCCTGGAATTTGCACAGCTCTGTCACACAGTACAGGGGAACAGTGTTGGATAAAAAATGACCCGTGACACCTTCCCAGCATATGGTTGGACTACTGACCTGCCGGTCTTGGCTTAATACCTGTCTTTGTGCTGGGATCGCGCCACACGCACAAAGACTGTGGTGTCACTGAGAGCCCCGGGTCCCGTTCTAACAATCGGGACCCGGAACTCCCGATTCCGGGTCACATGATCGCTGTGATAGCCTCTGATTGGCTATTACAGTGATCAGTCACTGTGAAACCCACCCCTTGTTTTTTTTTTTTTATTTTTTTTTCTCTCTGAATGGAGAAGAGAGATACATTATATGTCTCTCCTCTCTCTCCTTGCGGAGAGAAAAAAAAACAAAAAACAAAAAGCTGTGTGTAAATAAATAAACAAAAATACAAAAAAAAAGAAAGAAAAATACCTAGATTGAGGTTTGATCTACTTCAGTGCCAGGCTTAGTGTTTGGGTCAGGGTCCGGGTCAAAGATTTATTTTTTTTTTAAATTGGTATCAGTGTCAGTTGGTGTCAATTTCAGTGTATTTTAGGTAGGACAAAAGGAAAAAAAAAAAAAAAAAGCCCAATGCGCCCTATTGTTTCTGGGCTGTACTATGGGTACAAGCAACAAATACCATACACACAATATACAGTTGTAAGAAAAAGTATGTGAACCCGTTGGGATTACGTGGAGTTTTGCATGAATTGGGCATAAAATGTGCTCTGAATGTCATCATCTAAGTCACAACAATAGAAGAACACAGTCTGCTGAACATAATACTACACAAACATTAGATGTTGCCATGGTTTAATTGAACATAACATCTAAACATTCACAGTGCAGAGAGGAAAAAGTATGTGAGGCCCTAGCTTAATGACTTCTCCCAGAGCTAATTGGAGCCAGGAGTGAGCCAACCTTGACTCCAATCAGTGTGATGATATTGGATGTGTAGCTGACAGCTGTCCTGCCCTTAAAAAACACACACCTGTTTTGGGTTTACTGGTTTTTCAAGAAGCACTGTCTGATGTGTGAACCATGCCTCGCAGAAAAGAGCTCTCAGAAGACCTACGATCAAGAATTGTTGACTTGCATGAAGCTGGAAAGGGTTACAAAAGTATCTCCAAAAGCCTTGATGTTCATGTGTCCACGGTAAGACAGACTGTCTACAAATGGAGAAAGTTTAGCACTGTTGCTACTCTCCCTAGGCGTGGTCGTCCTGTAAAAATGACTGCAAGAGCACAGCGCAGAATGCTGCATGAGGTAAAGAAGAATCCCAGAGTGTCAGCTAAAGACCTACAGAAATCTCTGGCACATGCTAACATTTTTGTTTTGAAACATCTACAATAAGGAAAACATTAAACAAGAATGGAGTACATGGGAGGACACACGGAGGAAGCCATTGCTGTCCAAAAAGAATATTGCAGCACGTTTGAAGTTTGAAAAAGAGCACCTGGATGTTCCACAGCACTACTGGCAAAATATACTGTGGACAGATGAAACCAAGATTGAGTTGTTTGGGAAGAACACACAACACTATGTGTGGAGAAAAAAAGGCACAACACACCAACATCAAAACCTCATCCCCACTGTAAAACATGGCGGAGGGAGCATCATGGTTTGGGGCTGCTTTGCTGCCTCAGGGCCTGGATGGATTGTTGTCATTGATGGGAAAATGAATTCCAGATTTTATCAAGACATTTTGCAGGAAAACGTACGACCATCTGTCCGCCAACTGAAGCTCCGCAGAGGATGGGTTATGCAACAGGACAATGACCCAAAGCATACAAGTAATTCAACAAAACAATGGCTGCAAACAGCACAAAATACGCCTTCTGGAGTGGCCCAGTCAGAGTCCTGACCTCAACCCGATTGAAATGCTGTGGCATGACCTTAAGAGAGCGATTCACACCAGACATCCCAAGAATATTGCTACACTGAAACAGTTTTGTGAAGAGGAGTGGTCCAAAATTACTCCAGATCGTTGTGCAGGTCTGATCTGCAACTACAGGAAACGTTTGGTTGAGGTTATTGCTGCCAAAGGAGGGTCCACCAGTTATTAAGTCCAAAGGTTCACATACTTTTTCCTCCCTGCACTGTGAATGTTTAGATATTATGTGCAATTAAACCATGGCAACATCTAATGTTTGTGTAGTATTATGTTCAGCAGACTGTGTTCTTCTATTGTTGTGACTTAGATGACGTTCAGAGCACATTTTATGCCCAATTCATGCAAAACTCCACGTAATGCCAAGAGGTTCACATACTTTTTCTTGCAACTGTATATATAATATATATATATATATATATATATATATATATTTTTACATTGATATCAGTGTCAGTTGGTGTCAATTTCAGTGTATTTTAGGTAGGACAAAAGGAAGAAAAAAAACAAAAAAGCCCAATGCGCCCTATTGTTTCTGGGCTGTACTATGGGTACAAGCAACAAATAACATACACATATATATATATATATATATATATATATATATATATATATATATTATATATATTATTTTTTTTTTTTACATTGGTATCAGTGTCAGTTGGTGCCAGTTTCAGTGTATTTTAGTTAGAACAAAAAAAAAAAAAAAAAAAAAGCACAATGCGCCCTATTGTTTCTGGGCTCTATTACAGGTACAAACAACAAGTAACATACACATATATGGTATTGCTGCGATTGTCAGGAGAATTTATTTTGGTTTGTGTTTTGGTGGTAAGTTATGGTAGTAACAAAAAACATGCAGCTAAATTTAAAAAAAAAAGTTTTTTTTTTTTTTTTTTACTATTTTGGGCCGGTTTTCCTTTGATAATAAGAAAAAAAATTAGGAGATATCCATTACCATTTACCATTAAACGAAAGCCCAATTTGTCCTGAAAACAAAGGCGGTAGAATCCACCTGGATGTACAAAGTAGTTGTGATGGGATGTACGGTTTAACTAACGCATGTCAAAGTTGTCAAATTTTCCTTGGGCATTAAGATTTGTTTTACCCTTAGGAGTAAGGGGGTTAATTGAACAAGCTGAAGTTAGCAGCTGGCTTTACCAGAGTTTTCACTCTCCGGTTTTAGTAAATCTCTCCTCCACTGTGTCCAAAAAATACACATTTATTCCCCCAGCGAAATATAGTTTTTTTAAATATAATCAATGTTGTTTTAAGTTGTTATTATTATTATTATTATAATGTAAAAAAAAAACAAAATTTTTGTTTCCCAGTGAAATACAGTTATTTTTATATTATAATCAATGTTGTTTTATGTTATTATTATTATAATAATAAAGGATTTTTATATAGCGCCAACAGTTTACTCAGCACTTTCCGACATAAAGGGAGACAATGCAGCAATGATACAGTTCAATGCAAAGGGGTTTAAGAGGGCCCTGGCCCTGGGGAGCTTACAATCTAAGATTTTGCACTCCACAGTTTTAGTAAACTGTGTCCAAAAAATTCAACATTTTTGTTCCCAGTGAAAATACAGTTTTTTTTATGTTGTAATCAATGTTTTTTTATTGTTATTATTATTATTATCATTATTTTTTATTATTTTTATAATGTCCAAAAAAAAATACTCATGTTTGTTCCCAGTGAAATACTGTTTTTTATGTCATAATCAATGTTGTTTTTATGGTATTATTATTATTTCCAAAAAAATACACATTTTTGTCCCCAGTGAAATATGTTTTTGATGTTTATAATCCATGTTGTTTTATGTTATTATTATTATCATTATCATTATTATTATTTTTATAATGTCCAAAAAAAATACACATTTTTGTTCACAGTGAAATACAGTTTTTTGTTGTTGTTGTATCAATGGTGTTGTATGTTATTATTTATTAATATTATTAATATTATATCCACTGGGTTTTTCCAAAAAATACACATTTTTTTATGTTCCCAGTGAAATAGTTTTTTTTTTATGTTATAATCAATGTTGTTTTATTATAATAATAATATTATTATTATTTTCATTATTTATTATTATTTTTTATAATGTCCAAAAAAATAACCATTTTTGTTCCCAGTGAAATAAAGTTTTTTTTATGTTGTAATCAATGTTGTTTTATGTAACGATAACTGTGTCTTCTTCCAGAGAGAGGTGCCGATGAAGAGGAAGAGGACGTTGTAGATGAAGAAGTAAAAAGAGGTGTCTTGGACACGATCAAGAAAATTGGCATGAGTGCTCTCAAGGGTGTGGCCACGGACTTGCTGGGTTGAGTGTCTTGCAAAGTTTTCTGGAACCTGTTTAAGCCATGAACTGGAAGCCATTTGATGTGAAATTATCATTTAGCTAAATGCTAAATGTCTGATTAAAAAAATAATAAAATATTGCATGCAGTGTTTTTCTTCTTTTTATTTTTTTTTATTATGATTAGCCTATTTTATTTGGGAGAAAATAATGGTCCTTGGTGCACTTTCTTAGGGCTGTGTTTCTCAATCTTTTTTCAGTCAAGCCACCCTCTAAAATTACCAACAGTCCCAAGGCACTCTTTAAAAATTATGGACAGTCCCGAGGCACCCTTTAAAATTATGGACAGTCCCGAATCACCCTCTAAAATTATGGACGGTCCTGAGACACCCTTTAAAATGATGGACTGTCCTGAGGCACCCTTTAAAATTATGGACAGTCCCGAGTCACCCTCTAAAAAATTATGGACGGTCCCGAGTCACCCCTTTAAAAATGATGGACTGTCCCAAGGCACCCTTTCAAATGATGGACAGTCCCGAGACACCCTTTAAAATGATGGACAGTTCCGAGCACCCTCTAAAAATTATTGACAGTCCCGAGGCACCCTTTAAAATAATGGACAGTCCCGAGGCACTCTTTAAAATTATGGACAGTCCCGAGACACCTTTTAAAATAATGGACAGTCCCGAGGCACCCTTTAAAATTATGGATAGTCCTGAGGCACCCTTTAAAATGATGGGCGGTCCCAAGGCACCCTTTAAAATGATGGACGGTCCAGAGACACCTTTTAAAATGATGGACAGTCCCAAGGCACCCTTTTAAAATTATGGACAGTCCCAAGGCACCCTTTAAAATGATGGACTGTTCCGAGACACCCTTTAAAATGATGGAGGGTCCCAAGACACCCTTTAAAATGATGGACAGTTCCAAGCATTCTCTAAAATGATGGACTGTCCTGAGGCACCCTTTAAAATTATGGACCGTTCTGAGGCACCTTTAAAATGATGGACAGTCCCGAGAAACCCTTTAAAATGATGGACAGTCCCGAGGCACCCTTTAAAATGATGGACAGTCCCGAGGCACCTTTTTATTAAAATGATGACAGTCCCAAGGCACCCTTTAAAATGATGGATGGTCCTGAGACACCCTTTTTCCATTTGCCGCCCACCCTATGGCTGAATGGCGGCTGGCAAATGTCAGCAGCGTTCCAGGTGGACGCCATATGGCGTCCTCCCGCACATACGCAGATTGCGCTCCTGCAGAGCCGCGCAGTGGCGCGATCTGTCACCGGGGCCGTGTACCTCGGACACGGCCGATGACAGATCTGAGTATCGGCCCCCGTTGCCTCTACCATGTGACCTGCTGTGACCAATCACAGCAGGTCACATGACAGTTGTATACAATGGATGGCTTCATTCATGCTATCCATTGTATACTAGTGTTATAGCTGTGAATGGTCAAAGCTAATCACATGCACATGTCATGTGATTAGCTGTGGCCAAATCACAGCTAAGCACAAAAAAAAAAAAAAAAAAAACCTGAATGAATTGATGTCATTCAGGTAAATGCTTGCTTATAGCAAAGTAATTCTTTGCTATAAGCAAATTGTGTAAAAAAAAAAAAAAATACTGATCACTTCCCTAAAGTAGTACAATGTTACTATGGTAATATTGTAGTACTTTGCTCATAGTGAAATATGAAAAAAAAATCTTAAAGAAAATAAAATAAAAATTAATAATAAATAAAAAATAATAAAAAAGTATATATATATATATATAATATATATATATTATATATATATATTCATACTGTCACCAGTCAGTGTCCCTGATCTCCGCCATGCCAGTTATATGATGATGCTGTACTGCACTGGTGACAATATGTAAAAAAAAAATAGTGAAACTAATTTTTTTAATTTTTTTCCGAAAAATTATGACAAAAAAAATACAACTTCAAAAACTCGCCATGCCCTCTTGTGAAGTACGTTGGACTGTCTACTTTGCAAAAAGGGGTCATTTGGGGGATATCTGTACTGTTCTGACATTCTTGGACCTCAAGAAATTAGATTGACTGTCAGTACTTCAGGATTGATCAATATTCATTCAGATCTATACCATTGTTTGTGAACTCTATAACTTTCCCTACAAACTAAAAAATACATCCTAATTTGTGTTATTTTCACCACAGACATGTAGCAGAATACATCTTGGCCTAAATTTATGAAGAACAATCATTTATTTGCAAACTTTTATAACAGAAACAAAGAAAAATGTGTGTTATTTCAAACTTTTTGGTCTTTTTTTGTTAATTTAGCAAAAAATAAAAACCCCCAGCGGTGATTAAATACCACCAAAAGAAAGCTCTAGTTTTGTGAAGAAAATGATAAAATTTTAGTTTGGGTACAATGTTGTATGACCGCGCAATTGTCATTCAAAGTGTGAGAGCGCTGAAACCTGAAAAATGGCCTGGGCAGGAAGGTGTAAAATTGCCCGGTATTGAATTGGTTAAAATGATGGAGAGTCCCGAAACACCCTTTAAAATGATGGACTGTCCCGAGGCACCCTTTAAAATATGGACAGTCCTAAGGCACCCTTTAAAATTATGGACAGTCCCGAGTCACCCTTTAAAATGATGGACAGTCCCGAGGCACCCTTTAAAATGATGGACTGTCCCGAGGCACCCTTAAAAATTATGGACAGTTCTGAGGCACCCTTTAAAATGATGGACAGTCCCGAGGCACCCTTTAAAATACGGACAGTCCCAAGGTACCCTTTAAAATGATGGATGGTTCCGAGACACCCTTTAAAATGATGGACAGTCTCGAGACACCCTTTAAAATGATGGACGGTCCCGGAACACCCTATAAAATTATGGACAGTCCCGAGGCACCCTTTAAAATTATGGACAGTCCCGAGGCACCCTTTAAAATTATGGACAGTCCCGAGGCACCCTTTAAAATTATGGACAGTCCCGAGGTATCCTTTAAAATGATGGACAGTCCCGAGAAACCCTTTAAAATGATGGACAGTTCTGAGGCACGCTTTAAAATACAGACAGTCTCAAGGCACCCTTTAAAATGATGAATGGTTCCGAGACACCCTATAAAATTATGGACAGTCCTGAGTCACCCTGTAAAATTATGGACAGTCCCGAGGCACCCTTTAAAATTATGGACAGTCCCGAGGCACCCTTTAAAATTATGGACGGTCCCGAGGCACCCCATTCTAAAATGTGAAAAACTATTCTAATATTTTTATATAATGCAGCAACACCCACACATGTAGGACACTCAACATTAGAGGGGATTTATCATTCCAAAGCAACTACACTTTTGCACACTAGTACTGACTAGTGTTCAATGTTTCTCCTCTCCCTCAGTTTTTCTCCATCACGGAGCTAATGTGACCCCAGCACTGATAGAGAAGGGAAGGGGAGAGTAAAAACTAGGATGCTGTGCAGGCAACTGACATCCTCCTTATCAACTGTCGATATCATTGGTTGTCAGGATGCCAGCAGCTAGAGGGTTGTAATGGTGCACAATGGAAACTGGTGGCTTTGTGTAACTAAAAGGCGGGCTTGTTCCACCCGCTGGCTTGTATACACGTTTTTATGCAATTTTTAAACATTTTGCCAAGGCACCCCTGAGGAAGCCTCAAGGCACCCCTGAAGAAACCTCAAGGCACCACTGAAGAAGCCTCAAGGCACCCCTGAAGAAGCCTCAAGGGACCCCTGAAGAAACCTCAAGGCATCCCTGAAGAAGCCTCAAGGCACCCCAGTTGAGAAAGGCTGTTCTAGGGTATGTAATCATGTATCAACTTTCCATTGGATACATCAGCCCCACCGATCGGGTTAGATCCTTCACTTTATCCAAATCAAAATAAAAGCGTCTATAGTATATTAGCCAATGGTTACCCATATGGAAGAGAAATATATTTCCAATATATTTAGAAAAACAAAATTATACATGCAACATATATTTACAATATATTGGCCTCCGCGAATATATTTTAACATGTATTCCAAAAATATAAATTATAAATTATTTTCCGAAGGCATATATTTAAAAACGTATTTTTCAAAATATATTTTCCAGATATTTTCGAACATCTAAAAAAATGCATATAAACATAGATTTTTTAAATATACTTGTAAATGCATTCCAAATTACACTTTGATATATATTGAAGCACATGTTCTGAATATATTTTTTAATAATATATTAAAAAATGTATCGATATATATTTTTGAAATATATTGAATATATAATATTTTAGTATTTGAAATATATGTCAATATATTTGGGAAGAATATAATAAGAATGTATTTTTAAAATATATTTAACCGCTTGAGCCCCAGCCACTTTTGCAGGGTGGCACGGCTGCGCTGCCTGCCCTACCTGTCCCGTGGGTGTCAGTAGCGGGTCTCAGCCACCGCGTCACAGCCGGTCATTACTGGCCGTTTCCCCGCGATTCACGGCAATCGCTGACAGAGAGCAGGGCTGCATTGTTTACACACAGCCCTGTTCTTTCTCAGTTGCCTGTCAGCTCCTGACAAGCTGAAGAGGGAGAGAAAAGTTTATCTCTCCCATTCAGCCTGTCCCAGTCCAGCACACACCCCCGCCCCCTAGTAAAACCCTCCCCTCACACACAGTTAACCCTTTCAGTGAAAAAAAAATGTTTACTCCTTCCTCCCCAGTGCCATTAGTACAGTGTCAGTGGGTTTTTTTTTCACTGATCACTGTATTGGTGTCACTGGGGATGTCAGTGACCCCAAGTTATTTCCCCCCAGTGTCAAAATGTCCACCGCAGTCCCGCAGTCCTGTCATAAGTTGCTGATCGCCGCCATAAGTCGCTGATCGCTACCATATGTCACTGATCGCCGCCATTATTAGTATAAAAAAATTAAAAATCCCAGTATCTTTCCCGCCATTTGTAAACGCTATAACTTTCATGTAAACCAATTAATTTACACGAATTGAGATTTTTTTTAGCAAAGACATGTCGCAAAATGCATTTTGGATGAAATTTGTGACAAAATTAGATTTTTTTATTTTTTTACTGGATATGTTTTATAGCAAAAAGTCCAAAATATTGTTTTTTTTTCTCAAAATTGTCAGCCTTTTTTTTTTATAGCGCAAAAAATTAAAAACGCACACGCGATCAAATACCACCGAAAGAAAGCTCAATTTGTGGGTAAAAAAGGATGTAAATCTGATTTGGGTGCAGTGTTGCATGACTGCGCAATTGTCAGTGAAAGTAACACAAACCTCTTCTGTAACCGCTTCCTGACCACCCTACAGCAGAAATACTGCTACAGGGCGGCATGGGTACGCAAAATCACACACACACACACACATATATATATATATATATATATATATATATATACATGATTTGCGCTCCTGTGGTTTTTCACGCCCCTCCCAGATAGCGTCAGATTGCCCTTCAGTATACCAGTCATCACATTTAACCCCTTGATTGCCAGGAGCACGCTCATGTACAATAAACCTCCATTGCTAGTATAGTGTCTGAACGGGTCAATATCTTTGATCAGGTCAGCACTATACCAGCATTCACATTAGTATAGCATCCCCAAAAATGCAGCATTAGCGGGATCAGCCCCGGCACCTGCCAACACCTGCGTTTAGCCCCTATGCTTACCCCCCTTCTCCCCCAGCAAGTGCAGTGTCAGTAGGTCACTGTCACTTGATACATTGCACACAAAACCGCAATGTTCGCAGAATCAGGCCTGATCTCTATTAGCACTTGCCGGTAAATTTTGATGACTCTCATATGCAGCAGAGTGCCAGTACTAGTGCCGCTCTACCTTTTGGTGAACTGGCGAGTACCAGTGGTCTAGTACATCCTGGTCTTTCACATACCTCCTTGATTTTTGGAGTTGTTTTTCACGGAATATCTGTATGCGTTGATTGTGGATCAAAGCAGTTTATATGCACAACAATTTATTGCCGCCAACCCAAAAATCAAACCTTGCCAGACCATTCGCATGGAAACTCATTACGGTTTTCAAATTTACATTTTTTTGGGGCCTAACCCTCAACATGGGCATTACTAAAATAAAAAAATTGCAGTTGTATTGGTCCGCAGACTCTATTCATCATATGCCGTGTTCACTGCTGCCATGGCAGACATAGATATGAAAGTATAATGTGTTTTATGCATTTCAGCGACAATACACTCTGTCATCCTCGGGGTAACCCTGAATTTGACCGGCTCCACAAAATTCAGCCCCTCGCAAATCACCTTAACCTAAAATTTTGCAGATGTCTATACTCCCCAGCAAAACTGTCAAGGTCCTACCTTTTCCCTGAGGTTATGTTACTCCATGTGCTGGCGTCCATCTTGGATTCTGCTGTGCATGGTGGGAATCCTTTTTATGCCTTCAGGTCTCTGAGGTTCACCCCCCAGAGGGGCGTGGCTGATGACATATAAGCCTGTGGTCTGCACATGCTCTTTGCACTTGTGTCTTGTGTCTTGGTGTTACTATTACTCTGTTCTGACTCTCGTGACTCTCCTGGTATTCTGATTCGGCTTGTGACTTGACTATTCTTTGTATTCTCCTTTGATCTGACCCTCTGTTGCTGAACCCGGCTCGTGACCTGTGATTCTCGTCTGCTGTCCTGTACTGTTTTGTCCTGTTGTTGTTGACCCCGGCCTGTCTGACTACTCTTTTGTCTCTTCCACCAAGCTACACGCCATTGGGCGGCGGCCATTACCGCAGCTGAGGTGTCTCGGGGGCTGCGACCTGGTTCCTGGCTGCGTCAAGTCCATCCCCACCATCAGGGGCCCTGGTGAAGGGCAGCCTGGGACTTAGACTACGCGCCCTGAGGGACTTCGGTCTGTGGGTGGTGGTTGTCGTCAGCCAGTGCGTTACATTGTTAGGCCTGCCTGTCCGTTCCTCGGCTCCTGCCCTGACAAAAAACATTTTCTGCGTTGATGAGTCCCTCATTAATTTTTCTGGCCGCCTTGCATTCAAACAATTTCTCCCCAGATATGGGGTCAAGATGTAGAAGACCTGTGAGAGGACAACAGGCTATACTTTATAAGTTTTGGATTTACGAGGGAAAAGATAGTCACATGGAGCCTGCACGGATGCCCAGACTACATGGGGAGCAGTGGCAAGATAGTTTGGGACTTGGTGTCATCCTTTTTCCATATGGGGTACCACTTATACATAGACAATTTTTATTCAAGGGTGCTACTATTTAGACATTTGTTCAATCTTGGAACTGGCACTTGTGGCAAAGTGTGACCTAATGTGTGCCCACAATGAGAAGTGGGTGGATGCAACAAGGAGGTATATTCTAATATAGCATATATTACCCATATATAGCCTACAGCTGCAGGCATCATCCTGGTATCGTTTTTTTCAGCCGGTGATCGGCTTTCATGTAAAAGCAATCCTAGTGGCTAATTATCTGCAAGATTGCTTTTACAAGCAGTGGGAGATGATCTCCCCCCTCCCCCGCTGCCTTCCACGGCCTTCTCGGGCAGTCCCGTGCCATCAGGGGAACCTGAGAATGCAGCCGATGTTTTTCTGCCAGTGACCATAGAGCTGATTGGAGACCAGAATGGGGCCAATCATCTCTATAGTCT